CCAAACACGCAAAAGATCAACTTGATAGTTATTTGTCAGTGAATAGTGCCAATCAAAAGTTCTAAAAAGAGAGAAAAAAATAGAGCTTTTCTTGGATTCTTTGGATGTTTTTGGTCTTTTTTTTTTGCTACTTTTTGATTGCAAACTTTATCAAAATGCACCAATAAAAACATCCTATTAGGCTGCTCTGGTTTGGCTAATTTAAAATTCAACCTTTTTTTAATCAAATAAAGCATGTTTTCTGAACATCCCTTCACACCTGCACACAAGCTAACAGTGTTGTGCAGAGGCATGTGAGCGCTCAGATTTCCGAGAGCGCGGTTGTCGTGGCTCGTTACAATTTGTTGCCTGTTCAATAATGCATCGCGGCTCAGGAGGCAGCAAGAAGTAGGAGAGCGTCATCACGAAACAGAAAGATGAGACATGTTCAAACAAAGCACTGGAATAAGCTTCATGGGCTGCTTAGCGGAGTTATACACTGGCTTTTTTTTTTTTTTTTAATGAAAGGAAGGGAAAAATATCTGTGTATCCAAGACTGGGGAGCGGTTTAGTCCTAATAACATACACAAACATATAGGCTGAGGTCAGAGGTCAAATGGCCCTGAACTCTCTCCCTTTAGGCTGAGGACATCAGAAGTCTCTCTGTGTGCTGCTCTCCATTTATTTTACCCATCATCCCTCATCAGGCCGGGGCGACCCTGTGACCCCTCAGCTAGGGTTACCTGTCAGTTGACTGTCTATTCAGGAGCGTGGGGCTCGATGCTGTGTCAACATTTGCTCTGCGGAAAGACGAGGAAGAAGAGTTTAGTTCTGTGTGGTGAAAAAATCAAAAGAATCCGGCGGGTAGAATTAGTTTTATCTTTAAATTAAGTCTTTTGAATGCTTCTCTTGTGGTTTACATCCTCAGATTTGAGGCACTGCAGGGCCCTGACTGGCGCGCTCTCACCGCGGATGACATGCATGTGTGATAATTCCTGTTTGCTCGGAGACAAAGATCCAAAGGAGCACAGTAAACAGATGCTCGCATGGATACCTACTGAGGGGTACCTACAAAAACATTCCAACAGCCCCCCCCCCCCTTAGCGTGCTGTCAGCTATCAATCAGGGCGCCGTAAGTGGGATCCTTGAGTGGAGATGCTATCAGCTCTGCCCCATATGCACTCACACCACAGTTTCCCTTATCTCTGCACAGATAACAGATCCCCTCTCACAGCGAGAGGCCTGAACCAGACACACTTGCTTTTTTCTGCATGTGTCCCAGCTGTGCCATAGGCCACTTCATTTCAGACAGGGGCCCTCCACTGAAAAAAAACAAAAAAAAACAGTCAATTTGCTCGAGTTCCTGTTTAAAATTCAATAAGCGTGTCTTTTATATTGCGGCCGCGTGGTGCTAGCGGAGGCTACAGAGGGCGCGTGTGCTACTTCTGATTCCGATCTCTGATGTTATCAGCATCCAGAAGAAACATGATACACGTCTCGGTTGACAAATCCACATGGGCATGAAATTAAACAAAACCCAGAAGCATGAAACATTATCAATTTCCTGCAACTGTGCCTTTTTTTTAATTTTTATTATTATTTTGTAAACATTCCATTTCCGGAAAATTGTTTACGGTCTGTGTTAATAACCGAAGTGAACAGATGGTTGAAGGCTGTGCAATTAAAATAAAAGGGCGTTACATGTGTGTTAGATCTGAATGTACATTTTGCAGCTTTATGTTGTTCACCAGCTGAAGAGATGTGAGGTAAGTACAGTGAGGGGGGGGTTCTTTTTCTTTTTTTTGGTTGGTTTGAGGACAGCAGGCAGAGAAGATGGTCCTGAACCGGGTCTGTTTTCTGGGCTTCCACCAGACCACAGCACGTTGGGCCTAGTAACAAAAACAAGCATCCTGGTGTGGAGCTGGTCCCACAGTGTGAGGACCTTAATGAGGAACATGTGGAGCTGCCCAGACACACTGTCAGAGGAAACCCAATCCCTCACTCCCTCTTTTTTTTCTCTCTCTCTCTCTCTCCCCCTTCTTCCTCCCTTCCCCCTTTTCTCCCTTTCTTTCCCACTCTCCTTCGCTTCACTCTTTTCTGTCACTGTGTTTTTACAATGCAGAATTAATTGTCAGCTGTGTTTGCTTCAGACATTCAAAACATATTCTTTTTTTTTCTAAAGGGCATGAAAAAAAATCTCCTTTTTTCACTTGTAGCAAAACAAGTCTCCCACTATGAGTAGGAGAAACACACTGACCTTGTTTTTTTTTTTGTTTTTAACCTGGCCTTGTTGTCTAGAACCCTCTCCACCTTGTTGTATACATATGTGCTGGGTCATGCAACGCAATCCGCTCATAAGGAAAGAAAGGAAGAAAGAGGTCTTTCTCCACCCATCAAGCCTGACAGGCAGAGTTTCTTTCATCTCCTGAATTCATCCTCACCGTCCACCTGGATCAATTAACTGTTTGCTTCAGTGCTCATCGGCTCCACAGTGTGGAACCTCAGATCATTTTAGCGGACGGCAGCTTATTGAATATGGCTACGGCTTTGGATGCTGTTTGTCTTTTATCCTGATATAACGCACAGTCAGCATGCGCATGTATCGATTCCAGTAAGCTGTTGGAAAATGAAGTGAACAATGTGCTTTCTCCCCCCCCAGGAAATGTCACCTCTCGCTCCTGAAGGCTGCAACAGGTGAGACGAACCTGCTGCAGATTCATTTTAACGCGCATCTCTGCTCTGTTTTTTTTTTTTTTTCAAGCTGTCAAGGGGAGAGTGTAAACCTGTTTGGAGGAGGGGGGGTTAGTGGATTTAACATGTGACCATAAAGCCATAAAGTAGATCAAGCAACCAAGCCTCCAAAATTAGCTGTACAAACAGAGTAAGGTAGATCTCTCTGGGGGGATAAGCTCGGCACAGTGGATCCAGTGTGACAGAGGCCCTTCTGGCAGCTCAGAACAATCCAAACGTTCCACTTGGGTTGAGCTGTCTTCGTTTGCCCCCCTCCTTCTCTACTATATATATATATGTATATATCAGCCCCACACCAACATGGGCCTGTGAAGACCTTTCACAGGACTGACAGGCCACCTGAATCACACAATTGTATGGCTAGAGGAGCCTGCATGTGTATAGAAAAACCAGTGATCCAATAACTGTCTGGGTTCACTTCTCTCTCATAAAGTCAGGAGGGTGGAGGTGGGGTGGGTGGGTGCAGAGGGAGAGTCACAGCTACAAGCCAAATGTTCCAGCTGCCCCCCCGACCCAAAACAAAAGCTTTAACTTTTGGATTTAATCACAGAAATCACACAAAACGCAGATTTTTTTTAAATGCAAATATTTTATCCAGTAAATTGGCTGGCGCGTTGAAATCCTTTATCTGCATGGCACAACTACCCACACAAGGCAAGAAGCTGAAATCTGGTGAGTCTATGTGCCTTGCAGATGGTCCAGCCTCGCAGCAGCTGTGCAAATGAAAGACAGAGTGTCGTTGAAGGAGCGAGAGAGATGGAAAGTTGGCCACAAAGGGGAGAAAAAAAAAAAAGAGTAACATACAAGTTGCGAACTGAGAATGTAATGGAAAAATTAATAGCACGGCCAGATTTACCGAGAGAAAAATAATCAAGTATTTTCTTAGAATTTTGAGAGACAAACCCCCCCAACGCACACACACACACACACAATAGCTATGATTTTGGCAGGTAGAACATAAACAAGAAGAACAAATAAAGTTTCTCTGCAGCCTACAATCATTAATAATACCAGCTCTAACTCCAAATTAAGAGTGTCAGGCTTCATTTTTAACACTAAATATGCACTCACAGCTCCATTATTTATGTGTGGAGTGAGAAAACAACAGGTGATAAAATCCCGCTTGATGCTGAAAACACAGAAACATTTGTCCCCAGAGGAAGGAGGAGTCACACAGGGCGTTTGCCCCTCAGCTTCCCTGCTGGCACTTTTAGATTTTCTACTTTATATTGTATCCACATCTTTATATTCATATATTAGTGCGTTAATGCCACTCTGTCCACGCTGTAACAATCTGTTTATAATGCACTTTATTTGTTTATGCACTTCTGGTTAGATTCTGCTTTTCATTGCCTTCGTACAAGATAAGATAAAACTTTTATTAATCCCAAAGGTGTGCCAGATGTCGCTTGGATAAAAACCAAATGACACAACATATGAAATGCAGCGCCTAACAAGTAGTAAAGTAATAAAATATAAGTGTGATGCATTAGTGGAATAAAACAAGTGAGCCAAAATAGGGTAATATGATGCATTATAATGAGATATTGCACATGAAAATTGCACATTGACTATGTTGTGCATTCAAAATAAATATTGCACTGGTAAAGTTGTGCATAAAAGTGAAATACTGCACATGCAATCAAAGTAATGTACTTGCAGTAGTAATCTAGTACTTTGTGCAATGGTAATATCATTGAATCTAGTCTAAGTTTGCAAAAATTTGAGCTTTGCATGAGATACATTGCATTCCTGCAACACTAAATAGCCCCAAGATTCTAATCTTAGCATGCATATGTGTTATATGTGCATCTTTTGAGCTGTGTGTTTAAACTCTGTTGAATCCAGTCTAAGTTTGCAAAAATTGGAGCTTTGCATGAGATAAGCTGCATTCCTGCAACACTAAATAGCCCCAAAATTCTAATCTTAGCATGCATATGTGTTATATGTGCACCTTTTCAGCTGTTACAACCACAACAGCCTGCTGCTGTTCTTCACTTATAATCAGGCCAATTATAATTTCGCTGCTGCTGAAGCCACTTTTCCACTGCCCCCCCTCCCTCCTCCAACCAAAGTAATTGCCACTACATGTAAATATCAAGTGGTTAGTGAATAATTAGTCTTTCATTGGCCAGCCATCACCTCTGGGCCCCGGCTCCGCTCTAGTCCCCTCCCTCAGAGCCGCCCTGAAGACAGGGGCCCCTCTTTGAATGACAGCGCTTTGGGAAGCGAAGACGAATTTTTGTCTGATTTTTCCCGCAGCCGCAGCGTCGATGAGAAGCAGTCGAGGAACTCCATTCTAACTGAATGGATTGGTATGGGGAGAAGCGGACCTCAGATCACGGCTAAGCGGCAGCTTTGGGACTGTGTAACGTTGACGATGGTTTTACTTTCGCTGCTGTTTCGACCAGGTAAGCTGTGATTTTTCTTTTCTTTTTTTTTTTGGGACTGTTTTCGACCCCGCAATCCGTGCTCCCCCACTCCTCCGCTCCTGCATGCAGGGGAAAAAAAAAAGCTGCGGAATGGAGGTGGAGGGGGGATAAGAAACTTTAAAGTGATGTGGTGTGGATAAAGTTGGACTCTTAGCTGGTTTTAAACTCGTAGCTTTGTCGCTGGTTTAGTTGTTTTGCTGGTAAAAGAAGTGTGTGTTGTTTTAAAGTCCGCTGCGGGGACAAAGTGAGTCTGTTGCTAGCCGAGCAGCACGAGTTAACTCACTTCACGAAGCACTTTTTTCATTAAAATTCACACTTTCCCCCACTCAGGTAAACTTCTCCAAACAATATACCACTTAAACGCTTTATTTTCCAAACCACATTTCGACCGGTTTGCTCGTAACGGCGCGGCGAAGTTTCCCCAAAGTTACGGTTTAGCTTCCAGCTAGCATAGCTCGACTAGCGAAGCCGCAGTCAGCCCCGACAAGAAAACCACGGAGCTTTGTGTGTTTGTTAAAAACCCAGAAAATACCACAAGTTGGACTCCGAACAGCCACTTTTAGTATTTAACACATGGCTTTGGCTTTTAAGTCCAGTCTCGGTTGTTTTTTAGTCGTTGGCGAAGCTACCAGGACGATGGTATTTCACCTATTCATGCTTCATTTATTAACTTTGTTAGCTGCCATGCATGGGGGTCCAACTTTTTGGCCTCTGAACGTGTTGGTCGCAGAAACCAAATTCCAAAAACATGCTTTGATTTAAGCAAGAAAAAAACTTTCTAATTTCACACCTTGGGGCTTTTTCTATGTTATAACTCAATTTTATGTTTATACAGACTTTTGTTGTTCGTGAATAAACAAACAAACTAGTGTTTATATGCGACGTTCACTTCCTTTGCCAACATATGCATCAATCATATTCTGATAATTAGTATTTTAATATTGATGAAGTTTAACTGTGAAAAAAGTGGCATTTAAAGAAGTTGTAAGGTTTCTAACGTGCTAGATTAGCACCAATTATTAATTAAACCCAACAGCTGTATGCTATTATAGTCCAAAATGAGAATTAAACTTAAATAAAATGATGTCAAGATGATTTAAGGTACTTTTTTATATTGTTTTGACGCTTTGATGCTAGTGTTTTGGGTGTAATAGCAGTACAATAAAGTGTATTTCTAATATTTACACCAACACGTGTCCAGTTGTGCCTAAAACTTTCTATATTTCTGTTTAACTTTGAGTATTAAAAGCCACCATATGTGTAGTTTATTACAATTAAAAGTGCTTTCGGCTCTGTTTTTCTTATCTGAGCTGGCTCTGGGTTCAACCTCTGTTGGTGAAATTGTGTATTTAACTCTTAAACCTACATACCAGCTTCAACACAGCATCTGCATCTAACTCAAATCTACCATATTTTAATACTGTTTGTGTGGCCATTTTGCACTTCTCCTCTCCACTTCTCATGTTTCCCACTTGTTGCTAGCTTTCTAAGTGCAGGAGCATAAAGAGCCTTTAGGGAGGTGCATGCTTGTTGACGGCTGTGCAAGGCAGTGATTGTCAAAAAGTGTCAGTGGCAGCGAGGCGGGGGGAAGGCCCGTTTGAATTCAGATGAAGGATGCCTCTGGCTTGACCTCTCACACTCCATCTCAGATGTATCAGGGCTTATGTTGAAGTGCAGCGACTGCGAGATGCATTAATCATTCGTGCTGCTCCCTCGGTGCATCCGACTTATGTGAAAGGGAAGAAACTGTGCAAAAATATTCTCCTGCTCTGGTGTGAAATCTTCATGCTTATCTAGTCGTCTTTGTCCAGGCTGTTGGGAGATTAGATGGAGCTTTGGAGTAAACAGAAGATTATTCTGTTGCAATAGGAGAGCAGTCTGTTGCAATTGATCCCAGTCTTGCAGTAAAAGTGATGTATGTGTTGGGAGATTTTTTCCCTGATCCTGATCTGAAATGGAAATATATCCACCTTACAGCAGGAGATGATATCCCAGTCAGCGTATGAGACATCCCACCCAAAAGCAGCATGAAAACTGTAATGAACTTGATAGATGTCCACGCTTTTAACTTCTCACAGTGGTGGTTGTAGCTCTTTGTTTTCCTTGATAATAAATATCCCACATGTGAGTCATAATTTAACCGGAACCCGAGAATTCAGGCTGCACCACCTAAATATCACATGCTGTGCTTTGCGGCCCCTTCCGCCTTCCAGCCTCCAGCTTGGACCCTGAGCTGCTGAGTCTTTGTGAGATTCTTCTTGCGATGCTCTTGAAGGTAGCTGCCACATACGCCGGGCCCTGCCGTGCCATGTAGTATAGCTTAATGGACTTCAATTATCTCAGCAACAGCCAAACCACATTCAACACCCTCAGGCAAACGAACACAGGTTGGTTTCCTCCTACAGTCAGGCTACTTGCTATTTCTGTGAGGGCTAGTTGGGGGAAATAAGTTTTGACTGACTCTGGAGCACAGTGTGGGATCAGGGCCTCGTGAGCTCACGCATTTGGGTTTTAATGGCTCTCTTGATTGAGCTAAACTTGATAGTGGAAAACTTTTGACTCTGCTGCCCCATGCACTGAGCTGAGGTAATGTATCTGTAAATGTCAGAGGGATATTAAGGTTCCTATTAGGAGTATTATTTGCACAGGTTGGAGATCTATTCAGCATCATTTTGGCAGAAAGGGACGTTACTGGTGATTGAATTAACTGTGACATTAATTCTACTTTAGCACACATTTTGATGGTGATCATTTTTGTTTTTCAGCTCACTGCCAGCAGTGTCGAATCCAGCGCTGTAATGCGGAGTATGTGGCTTCTACCTCACCCTCTAGTGGTCTGCAGGAGGACGTGGCTCTGGATGTGGACTACTGCATCGCCCTGAGGGCCTATGCCCTGTGCACCCGGCGGCAGGCACGCAGCTGTAGGGGCGACCTTGTTTACCACTCGGCCGTCTTTCGCATTAAGGAGTTATTCTCTCAGCATAACTGCTCCAGCGACGGGCCCACCTCCTCCGCCAAGGTCCCCAGCACGTCTCGGCCGGCCGTGTCCGAGCTCTGCGACTACGAGAATCGGGTCCTCGTGTCGGGCTCGGCTGGTCAGCAGAAGAAATACGCCCACTGTGGATTATTCGGAGACCCACACCTACGGACTTTCCGAGACGAGTTTCAGACCTGCAAGGTGGAGGGGGCGTGGCCTCTGATTGACAACCGCTTCCTGTCGGTGCAGGTGACCAATGTGCCTGTTGTCCTGGGCTCCAGTGCCACGGCAACCAGCAAGGTGAGGATGAGTTTAGAGCAGCATTATCTAGATTCAAACAGAGAAATGTCTTCGTTTAGTCTTTGTTTATGTCTATAGGTTTTTGCTTTCTCTTCCTATAGTGCATAATTTTAGTACAGGAATAGATAAATCTGTTTAATATCATTTAGATTAGAGCAAAATTGGGCAAAAAAAACTCTTGAATTTAATTTGCAAACACTCAGGGAGGAGTCTGCCCTGATTGTCTTATAATGCAATGAGCATCTTTGCAGACCTGCATATCTGGTCATCGTTTTTAACATATGAGTGGAAACCTTCTTCACTACAGCAATCTGTGACTCCATTAAATATGAACAGTCACATTATAGTAAGTTTTAAACCTACACAAGTGGGCTGGGTTTTCGTTTTTGAGTGCGAGCTGCTTGTGAGCTCAAGTATTGCCATAAAGTATCAAACATGTGAAGTTAATCGTCATTCCACGGTGCCTCTCGAGTCTCCAGCATTCCTCATGTCTTGGAGCTCCTTCAGATCTATGAGGGGAAAAGAGAGAGGAGGGGAGTCCTTCAGTGGTGTTGAATCACAGACATGCTTGAGCGCTCTACCTTTAACACATGGGTGGTCATATGGTAGTGATTAACGCTCACTCAAACATTTTCCTCCACCGCCACGATCTGGAATGTTTTTTCACCCCTCTGGTCAAATAATTAACTGGGCGCTTTTTGTGTAAATATGGAATAATTTGGAAAAATAAGGGAATAATTGGCCAGCAGCGAGGATTTTCTTGATTCTGTTAATGAAGTAAGCAGGTTTTTTTTCTGGTTCGATTTTGTTTATTTTTTTTAATTGTTGGAAACCTTTATCAGAACTTCCGTCTATTTCTATGCGGTGCTGAATGCACAGCTTGTGTCCATTACATTCACTTGCTCAGGCTGCTTTTATAATATGAATTGTTTTGCTCAAATAGTGAACAATTGGTTTCTCAGTGCCAAGAAATGTCACTGACTTTCCTAAAGTTACCAAGTTTGATTCTTCTTTGTGAAAACAAACCCAAATGTAGAACAACAAACTCTGTAATATTGCATCAGGGATTTCAGAGCAAACTTTTGTAGTGTGTCCTGACTGTGTAGCCTGATGCAAACCTGTAGTGTAGATATATCTGTGCCAGCAACCCGCATGCCCTCATCATGCTTTTGGAGTTGTTTTCAACTGCCAGACTTAAGACAGGAAATCATCCATCAAATACAGTAAAGCCCGTAAGTGTAAACGTAACCACAGCCACTGCTTTGTCAAGATACTTTGAAGAAACAGAGGTTAGGCCCCAATTTTTCAAAGCTCAGCTGGAATACAAATCACAGTCAGTCACTGAGCAAACACTGGCTGTGCCTGTAGAGCAGAAGCAGAGATTTGAGGCGGTTATGAAACAGCGCTGTTTGTTTCAACATCCAGCAACAACTGGGCGAGTTAGATAAGCATCAGTTATTTATTTTAGTTTGGAGGAGATAGGTGACGGTGAAGATCAAACAAAGATCCTCATTGGCTTTCACTGAGCGATAACTTGCTTTGTTGATAACAGTCCGAGTTAGCGTTGTGTGGTCCTTTCTTAAATGAAATTAATTTGTGACGATGTTGTTATGAATTAATTGGCTAAAGATTACATCAAAGACAAAATCACTTGCTCTCTTTTTTTGGGGAAAAAAGACCAGTGTGAGGCATCAACACCCTGCAGACTTTAAAATATTTGGTTACTTGCTGCCACCTTGTGGACTGTAGTGGTACTACTCTTATTAGAATTTTTTTTTTAATTTTTTCAGTTTTTTTTTTTTGGTCAGCGTGTGTACATATAAGGACTGATTTAGCTGGTGTTTTAGTAGTTGAAAATGTACTTACTGATTTTATTTGTCTCCCCCTGTTTCAGATCACAGTGATTTTCAAGTCCTACCACGGCTGCACAGATCAGAAGGTGTACCAGGCCACCACTGAAGATCTGCCGCTGGCCTTTCAGGATGGGACCCGCAGCGGCGGCGAGAGCGGCAGCCTGACCATCGCCGAGCGAGGCGGCTCTGGAGTGGGTCGGCAGGTGAAGATACAGGCCCGGTACATCGGCACCTCCATCATCATCCGCCGCGTGGGCAGCTACCTGACCTTCGCCATCCGCATGCCGGAAGACACCCTGGACTTTTCAGAGGACAATGGTGGCCTGCAGCTGTGCCTGCACGGCTGCCCTCGCAACGAGCTCATCAAAGAGCACACGCTGGGCCGTCAGAGCCAGCAGCCCCGTCTGCAGGGCACCAACACGGAGCTGGGCCCTCTGCGGCCTCCCCACCAGGTCTACACGGTGGAGCGGGCCACGGCCAAGTGTAGAGAGACTCTGCAGGTGGAGGACGTGTACTTTCAGTCCTGCGTGTTTGACTTGCTGACCACGGGAGACCCTGAGTTCTCTATGGCAGCGTATGGCGCTCTGGAGGATTTAAAGGCGCTGCCGCCCAGTAAACTGAAGCAGAATTCCCCAAGGACTCCTCGTCTTTACAACCGAGGAGTGTCACAGACGCTGGCAGCAACAGCAGCCAACAGCTCCCTGCTCTCACTCCTACTCCTCATTCTGCTGCTTTTGTAAAAAAAAAAAAAAA